TTAGTGGATTTGGTCCAGCTGAGTGCTGACTCTGACTCTGCATGCTTTAAAGGGTCAACAGAATGGTCAACCACAAACTGCATTGCTAACAACTTTCTGATCCTCAGACGTCAGCCCAGCCGTCTGCACTGCCGCTGGTAACAGTACTGCTACAACCAAGCAAGGCTCACTCTCCTTAAACACGCCTGGCTCAAACAAAGACAACAAAACCAAATCCCTAACATCATCTTTACTTTTTTTTTCTCCTCTGAAACTAAATGATCAACTATTTGAAATAATTATATTAATAATAATCTGTCTTGCAGCAATAAACAAACGCCGCTGTATGCACAAAATAAAAAAACACAAAGAAGCCCTAATTTCAAATGCCATCACAGATAGTCAAGTGTAAACAAATAAACCCACAAATGATGCCCTTTCCCTGACTATCTGACCAAAACTTACTAGAACCTCACCCTTAGTCTTCATGTGGTTCTGCAGTGGGTGTATTAAGCACCAAATGAGCCAGTCTGTGAAGTCACCTGCAGCAGTCAACCCCACAAAACCACATGGAGTGCCCCTGAGATAGCTGTCCGAAGACAACTAACGCTAACCGCTCCCCACTGCACTACCAAAACAAAACACTGACACAACCAAAAGAGGACATGTCCTTTAGCCTACCAGAGACATCTCAGTAAATACAGCATCAAGACACCATCACTCACCTTCTGGACGGCACCAAACAATCAATGTTGGGTCACAAACAACACAAAGTGTGTCTCCCCCAAAACCACTGCAGGCTTCTAAAGCATGCAGAGTCAGAGTCAGCACTCAGCTGGACCAAATCCACTAATCAGTAGGCAATCAACCACATGTGCCGAATGCTACCTAAGACACAAGAGATAAACAAAATACCTGAATGGACGTTATGATCTCATCCCAGACGAGCCCCCATTTGTTACGACCTGGCTCAAAACTGCTGCAACAAAAGGAAAGACACACCAAGTTTCAAAAATTAAAGCCTGTCTTTATTCACTTAAATTATACCAAATTAAAAGCCAAATCAATATGGGGTTGTGAGAATACATAAAGTCAGTGGTGTGTGTGTGATATATGCATGAATTATGTCTGTGCAAGTGTTGGAAATGCAAACATCCTAAATGAAGAAAACTAACCCATGACCAGACCAGTGTGTTACCTGCAGACGGAAGAAGAGAGTTCAGCCATTCTAGTATATTCTTAAAACAAAGGTCTCAATTAAGTTAAAAAATTAAAATTAACAGACAATCTGATACATGGCAAGGGAAAGGCAAGACTGTTTTCACACAGGGCGGATTGGACTCATGAAACACAGGTGAAAGTAAAGAGTAAAGAAAACAGGAAAAGGGCAGAAGAAAAAACACAAGCTACATACAACAAAAGGCGTTTACATATTAAAACATGAAGTAACTGAAAAGGGATGTGGAAGGTACATGTAGACAAAAAGAGAGGCACAAACAGGGAATGACAGGAAACGCAACCAGGACAGCACAGGAGACACAAAAAAGTAAAACACACATTAAAAAATCTTACAAAACACTCACACGCTTCTCCCGTCCTCAGTCTGGAAAGAGGATCCCATTCATACAGATCTAAAGACACCAAAATATAGTAATGGAAATACAATTACCAGTATGGAATACATTTACTCTACAGTGTGCAGGAGCCTCTATGGCCTGAAGTTCCACCAGGCCAGTGTGAAATTTGTACAGATGGTGCAAGTATCACATCACTCAGGAGCTGTACCAGTGAGATACAGGAGAACCGAGGCCTGGAGTCACTACACAGTGTCCAGAATCTTCAGGTGACACACGCTCAGTACCCATACAGAGGAAAAGAACATTGTCAGATCAATTGGACCCAGGCTTGCAAGGAGATGGAGTATCTCCAGTTCAATGAACATGCTTATGCCATCTTAGAAACATGAGCCAAGGGCAAAGCTGATTGACACCTTCAGACAATGACAATGGTTCAGGCTGGAGAACAGAGCAACGAAATGTCCCTACACAATGAGCAACACAGTAAGAAAGATCGACCACCTCGTACAGGGCAGGTACAAGGCAGTCCACTTTTAATAAATGATTGCTACTTATTAGGGGCAATTATGGCCAACTACAAGATTAGTAAAAAGACATTTACTCTGCTAAAACCATTGTTTTTTTCTTTGGACTAGACATTTGTTTATTCTGTTATTCTGTTGGTTCAGGGTCCAAGTTAAAGGAGATCCCTTACTTTTTGTGAAACAGCGCTTCCTCCAGTGCTTTGCCTTGCTCAAGGATGGTTCAAAAATGAGCTGCTAAGGTGGTGTTTACTTTGACTTCAAATTAGTATTTCTTTTTACTGAATCAGGTCTGCATACCTGTGGTGTCAGTTCGGCTGGTGAAGAAGCATAAGACAGCTGGTCTGGTGCCAAATGGCCTGGCCATCACCACAGACACAGGACAGAAGGTATGCTGTTAAAATGTTTGTGCCTTGACTGGTATTGATTTGCTTTAGTTTTCTTCATAGATTAAGATTTTGCAAACCAAGATGTAATAAGCTAATGGAATGTCATTCTTCTTACCAGTTGCAACGTCAATGAGAACTACCTCCAATTTGACTAACAACAGCATAAAAACATTGTCTCCACAATGTCTCTAATTACTGATAATCCAGTAATATAATGTAGTTTGCATGCTACAGATATTTTCAAAGGACACTTTTTGGAAACGCTGCCTTAAAGGAAAAAATCCATATGCAAAAATGTTAAAGTGAACACCACAGATTGCATAAATGACTGTTTCTAGCAATATAAACTGCAAGCCTTATTCTTGAAGACGTGCATTCATACATATATGTGGCTCTTTTTTAGGTAACTATAGGAAAAATCCCAATGCCTGGTGGTGGGTACTGACTTTGTACATACCATGCCACCTGAGGCCGTAACAATATATATATATATTAAAAAAAAAAACACCCATTCCCCAAGACAAAAAATTGTAGTGTTCTATAGTTATGTCTGACAGTTTCAGTCCATTGTGTCTTTATGATAAAGAAGACCAAAAGACTTGTCCATGACCCCTGTAAGTCTGTAATTGTTAGTTAGACACGATCTTATTCCTGACCACTTTGCATTCAATACTTTCAAATAGTACTCATGGCATTATTTGGTTGGGTGCTTCTGGCCATTACCTGTTTGACAGTATACTGTAGACCACATAACACAGACTGGCAATGGTTGCTAGGCTAATCCTACTAGCTAATGTTAACTCTAAGATAAGCTTTAGCTGCATGGACAAGCATACAAAACAATCAAAGAAAGTTCAAAAGCATCATTGTCCTGTTGAAAGGTCCACTGCTGGTTTTACTGAAACTTTAGACAGATGGCCCGACATTGTCTTGAAGCACTTTTGATTATATGTTATGAATCCAATTTTTAATAAAACTCTTAACATTTCATCCATAGTGCTTCTTAGCTTGTGGGAAATTCTCCTCCGGAAAAACTGTATTTGGTCTGCATAGAACATGTGTACTGCTACTGTGTCTTTAATTTGTCTGTCCAGAGCACAGTGTTCCAAAACATTACATCTTTTCTTTTATGTTCATTTTCAAATGTTTCTGGACAGCAAAAGGCTTTCTCATGGCACCCACGAAGGGCAAATTTATGCAATCTCTTTGTGACTGATAGATGCAACACATTGTAGATACAGAATGATAGTTGCAAGAGTTACCTGTAGATTCTTGATGAAACTTTTGGGTAATTTGAGACTTTTTGTGTGAAACAGTCTGCTCTTTGATTACATTTTTTTGGGATAAGCTACACCACTTATAGATGATTTAAGTAATAATGAATTTTGTTTTTTCTCTCAAAGAACCCGAAGACTGTTCTGAATCATAGGCACCCACAACCCTTTTTCTGGAGGCCTTAGAGAGCCATTTAGATCTTGGCATAATGACACCACCTACTTTAAACACCACACCCTAGATGTCAAAGGTACAAATAACCATAGTATGACCAATCTGTTGTGTCTTTGATGTACTTAAATTATGAAAACATTTTTGTTTGTCACTTGTTTGAGTATATTACTTTTATTAATCTGCACTTTTTCAAAGAGAATCTAATGTTTGTTAGTCCAAATATAGTATGTCAAAAAAGCCAACAATGTCTATGGGCTGTACTAAAAAGAAGTGACTGTATATACATACATATACACATTTACTACAGATTTTAAAATTGTTATTCCTTTAGCATTGAAATGTTAAGTGATGTGTTGATGGAGCGGCACCTGAAGAATAACCATATCACATACCATCAGACATTTTCTAATTATTTTTAATTACACACCTTTTCAGCTTTACTCCATCTTTACTACATGCTGCTGTTACAGGATGGAGTAGACAGTATGCATTGACCCGCGCTCTGTCTTTATGTCTGTCTTCAGTATGTGTTTGTGTCCCTGCTGTCTCGAGACAGTGTCTATGATGTTCTCAGGAGGATCTGCACTCACCTTCAGGTTTGTAAAACATCTTTATTCTTCTGATATACTGATGACGAGACAGTTTTGCGATAATTCAGCAATTCTGTTTCAGATCTGTTTCAGTTCAGAGAAGCTGTCATAGTCACTGTTTGGAAAACTTAACCACTGAAATGGCATAGACAGATGCCAATAGTTCCTGTTAATCCCACAGTTTTCATTTTCTTCCTGACCTGACCTGTTTGACCATTTCTCTGTTGTAAGGTGAATGGGAAGAGCCTGAGTCTGAAGCAGTTCATGGAAGAGCCCAGCTCTCTGGCTATGGTAAAAGTTACATCCATATCATCACACATTTATTAAAGGGAAAATTCCAGCAGCATTGTCTTATTGTAGCCTGACTGACAAGCTATAAAGAGACATTACAAAAGTAAACACTGAAAGAAAATGAAAGGCCTGTTTCATGAGTTTCATTTTTTTAAATAATTCTGTTGAACCACCGTTTAAAAGCAATGTCTGATTTTCATTGGTTAATTTTCATAGAATTTTTATTTATTATTACTTTTGTCAGATTCAAGTTATTTCTGTGACCATTGTGG